CCCCACGCCGAGCTGTCTATACAGCCCGTTCTGTATTAAACACGAGTTCAGTTTCTCCTCACTTTTGTTGCATTTCTTTAGTCTTTACTCTGCCTCTTCACCTCTTTATACTTGAATTTGTTCTTCCCTGCATACCAGCGAGTTCGCTGTCCTCAGGGTTTAGGGTTTAGGGTTTAGGGTTTACGGCCAGGAGGCCCCCAAGGGCTTCTGCTTGGCTGCCACCATGCGGGGTGTAAACAAAAAAAGAAAAGCATCTTCTCCTCATCCGTCTGTTCCTGCAGATGAGCCTGCAATAGATGCCTCTGAAGCAGCGGCTTCCTCTCCAGCAGCAGCAGCAGCAGCAGCAGAAGACGCAGCAGCAGACGCAGCAGCGGGGGATTCTACCTCAGCAGCAGGAGCTGCTGATTCGTCTGCAGCAGCAGCAGCAGAAGCAGCAGCAGCAGCAGCAGCAGCAGCCGACACAGCAGCAGGGGATAGAGGGGATACAGAGTGTGAGGGTCGGGGTGTGGTGTATATTGCTGCAGTTCCTCCTGGGTGGAGCCGCAATGTGTTGATTCGTTATTTTGAATCTTTTGGTGAAGTGACGAGAACTTTTTTGAATAGAAAACAAACAAGAGGAGGCCGGAGTGTATATACAGATGGGTGGATAGAATACAGAAAAAAAAAACACGCAAAAAAAGTTGTTTCACTTATGAATGGAGAACCTGTAGGGGGAAAAAAAAGATTAACATCATCACAACATTTATTACTTTTATCTTATATTAAAAACTTTCGTTTTAGTAGTTTATATGAAGATGCAATGCATATAAAAAGAACAAAACAAGATAGAATGAATGCACAGATGGCTAGGGTTAAGAAAGAAGCTCAGGTGTATGTTGACCTCCTCGAGCAGAAACATTCACGAGAACAAATGCAAGAAAGAATAAATAAAAAATATAAAAAAACAAAACAACAAGAAGACATACAAACCTTACCTGGTATTACTGCTGCTGCATATACACCCCATAAAGGCCAAATACATGCACCCCAAAAACAAATAAAAAAAGAAGAAAAAA